TTGACATGCTGAGCTAACTAGGTCTCCTCAAGAGGAATTTGAGATATGTTTCCATGGTGAAGCAGATCCATGGGTCTCTTCTCTTGTTATCATCTCATAAATATTAGCATGGTGGGCTTTCAGAACAATGTCATTATTACTAGCTGCTATTGATAGTAGGAACTATAAAGTGTTGAGCTGCTACTCAGGACTGGACAACAATATGATAGAAATGTTGGTGTTTGCCCTTTTACCAGCCCGATCATACCTGGACATATCAATCACTGCAAGTACTATAGTATGGTATGCTGCCACCAACTCTTCAATCTATTCCCGTTGTACACATCATTATTGTCTTAGACAGGACATGTTCACTCACTATTATATATTTATCGGAACACTTGCTGTCTTGAATCTAAATTGTCAAGAATATAGTCATGAGGATTGATCAAAATTCCAGAAGGAAAACCAGCCACAAGCCTGAACTCACAAACTTGTCCATCATATGTAGCCTTGATCCAATTGATCACCATGATAAATGCATCCATTATAGCAACTTTTAGCAATCCTGTAGCAAAGAATCAGCTGGTATGTATGATAATGGATCAAAATAGAAAACAAACAACAGTTGGAACTCACCAAGTCTTCCATCATTTTCAGTTGTACTATCATATCTGCCCCAGCTTGGATCCACTAGCCCAAAACAATACAACTTTTGATGATAGTAGTTGTCAAAATATTGGACTTCTGCAGTGGGATGGCAAGCATTTGGATTGATGGAAAACCTCAACAGCATCAACAGAAACCCAATAATTGATTCCTTTGTTCTGCTACTCACCGTGATTGCTTAATAAAGTGCGATGGGAACAGCCACAGCATTTCTCCTTGGCTGGATAGTTGTCTGGATTCTCGGATTGATTCCTTGTCCAGTAGATCCAACCCATTCGAACCCCCTAACGAGACGACACCCAACAATGTCAAAAATACCATGGACGACGCTATGCTTATCCATGCGCTCTTCTAAGTCCTTTTCTTTTTTCGATGACAACTCTGAGACCTCTTCTTTGTTTCGCTGACAACTCTTGAAGAGATGAGGTTGATTGGTGGTTCCGTGTCTACGTTTGTCATTAGTGATCCTACGTTTGTCATTAGTGATCAGAAGCAAAGAATGACAAAGAGTAGTGACAGCTTGCACAGTATGGAGGATGTCTCCATCCCATTCATTGCAATTTTGTTCTCTCCAAACATAGATGTAGAAAACATAACATTGTCTAGGTCCTTGTTGCATCTAGTCAGAGTAAGCGAAGCCCAATCTTTGCCATTGCTAGGCATAGCAATATGGTATAGAATGGGTTGCTTTTTCTGTAAAATTGGCTAGCAAACGCAAATAGTAGTGCTTTACTATTTCCTCATTTTGTGAACTATTTCTGGTCTTCTAGTCCGGATGCAAAAAGCACAACTGATTTTGGGTAGATCAAGAATGGTGGAGAGCAAAAAGGGGGTGAAATATACAAATATTTTCTTGGAATAAACTACAAATTGGAACTGAAAAGAATATTTGTAGTCCGTCTTGGAGGATAAGGAGCGAAAAGACCATACAAAAATAAAATAATGCTTCGAAATAATGTTTGAAAGTAGAAATGTCAATTAATCTCAAGTATGTTCAGAATTAGTATCCAAATTACATCTTTGCATTTTATTCTTCCTTTAGGCTATAATGCAAGTCTTGCAATTGTTTGCAGTCCAAAGAAAGGGTAGGGGTCCAGCATTTACAGCCAAAATTTGGGACAATTTAAAATAGGAATATTAGGGTCCCTGATACAGAAAGGAGTGATGTGAGAGTTAGGCCTAAAGCTATGTCTGTACCTCCAAAGGGTCTAATCTAGTTCCAAGGTCACTCTAAGGTGAATACAGGCCCGTCTTCTTGTCCCAGGGCAGCTTTGCTTACTACTTTGCGGGTGTGCACGTGAAAACTGAGATGTCCTGTACGGTGGAGTTTGGTGTTCGGGTGCCAGAAATTAAAGCTAAAGTGTCGCAGTTGACCACATTATAAATTCATCGTCGTTTTTCGGCTGACTCAATCGACCCAATGTTCGGCTTGTTGTTTCTGTTTCCTACCCGGGTACATTGGCAACGGTGCGGTTTTGCGGTGTCGTCCATCACATTGTAGTCCGGGTTACTTTGACGCATCTGATCATGGGCTCTGCTCCCTTCGGTCGCTCCGCCAAAAAGTTTTACGTGCGAGGTCATAGCACCGAATTTTTGCCGGTACATCTACCTATGAAAGAGATGGTTATTGCTGTTGCTCTTGGAGACTTACGTCCGACCACCCGCATTATATGTTCAAGGAAGATAAAAGCGAGATTATACTTATTCATCTGCGTCTGTGCTAGCAGCTTGAGAACTAATAGTTCTCTGAACTTATTTTTCGGTTTTCACAGCAAAAAAGATTTTTATCCGAGGAATTGTGTTAGCAACATTAGCAATTTCCAAATTGCTCACCGTGACGAAAGATTCTGCAACAATTTGCAGAAGATAGAAGATAAGCACCCAAATAGGAGCAGGAAATACTTGCAATATTTCGCTTCAGGAGCTTGGTCAAATCAGATCAGCTGTTTGATCCTTGGTTATTGGCTTGCCTTTGCTACTGGCCGAGTCCTCGTCATTCCACCAAAACTATCTCGTCATCCGGCGAATCAACTTCTTTTCACCTTCTTACATCCCCCAAGACCTAAGGATCCATATCCTGAAAGTCTCCTCAAAAGCAGCGATTTGATAAGAGTAATTTATGGGGTACAGAAACCAACCCAGAAGATGATCGAAAAGTTGAAATGCAATTATACTGAGGAAATGAATTATTCGCAGCCTTTCTTTAATTATACGACAGACGATCTTATCCCAATGGAGAACATTCTTGATCTGGACTACATGCTTCCGAATATAGAGAAGATTGACTTCCACAAGTTTTATACGCATGTTTGGAAGAAAAACATGAAAGAGTGGGTTATGAACTACAGTGCTTCTGATACTATATTTATCAAGAATCAGACACAGCTGGAAAATACTGCTGTAAGAGTCAAACGAAAAAAAAAGACATATCGAGATATTTCTAAATTGGGGAAAGAATATGGCCAGTTTGATGTTTGGACTGTATATGACAGTTTTCGAATTGGTCATAAATCCATACATTGGAGCGCAATCGAATATCACAAGAGTTTCTCAAAATACTGGATTCAATATACTGAGCCAATTCGTCGTGCTGCTAAAGGCACAATAGAGACATTTGGTGGGATCCCCTACTTCTCAGTGCACATCAGAGCCACTGAGCCGCATTTTACTCGGCTCATGTCTGACACTGTGAACACGACAATGGAAAAGGCAATAAACGGAGTGTTAAAGTGGTTGAATGGGACAAACGAAACTCCAGAGAAGATCGGGCTGTTTTTACTTAGTGATTTTCCTTCATTGTTGCAGCATCAGCTGTTCCAAAAAAAACTCTCGAAGTTGAAGGAACTTGTTTTGGCTTTCAAATGCGAATTAGTTTTGTTGGAAGAAAGAGGCCACGGCATCCCAGGATATTACGGCATCATCTTGCAATTACAAGAATCACTGCGGTTAGAGAATGAGGAAACAAGAATGATTTTGGCCCAGCAGATAGGAGGATGCGGTGAAATTGGATTCTTTGGTACCTCGTTTTCCACGTTTTCGTTAGCAATAGAGATGATTCGAAATTCTCAATCAGCATGCTAAGATTGGCAGTATAATCTTGCGCACCGTTTCCAGTAGGTATTTGATTTGGAATTACAGCGTGTATTAGCCCGTAGCATACAACAAAGGGTAATATGAAGGAACATGAAGGAATCCAAACGTCAGATCGATTGGAAGCAGGAAGCAATTTGATATACCACAATCCAGAACAAGAGACAAAAGCACCAGAGTCGATCAGGGCATGGCCATGCCCTCAGCTTCACAGTCGTAGTGCAATGGGTGGCTGGTCGGATTGGGATTCACTCCAGGAATCTGTTTATCATAGCCATAATCAGGAACACCCAACAGAACGAGGATTTTTGAGTTATTCGTAACCCAACCTTCAAAGAAGAGTCTTATCAAAAATTATAGATGACTTCTATGGGCTGTTTCACTCTTCTCCTCTATGATCAAAGCTTGCTGGATCATATGATATCATTGAAATTCAGTCACAAAGGCGTCCTTACATCCACGTTGCATACAAGAGGTGGTTCTTGAAGCAACATGCGATACAAGGTCATCGTATGTTAGACTCGACGAAATGGCACAAGACGCCGTATATTCAGTCGCTCAAAGACTTGATGATTTCTGCGAATTCCAACAGTTCCATAAGTAAACACAAAAGTGATTCGATACGGACTTTCCATCTTAGGATCCAATTTACTTGGATTGAAATTCTTGATTAAAACTTCACCACCAACAACGTAATCAAACTCCTTTCGTTTTCTTAGAATTTTGTTGATAAGCGATTGTCGCTTTTCCTGTATACTCAAAAGATCGACAATCACAGGAATGTTGAGCAACATATCACGAGCAAATACCACTTCACCTGGGGTGTTGTTCTTCAAAGCTTGAGAAACAGAGCATCTAATGGCATGATTGCAGGCAGCAAGAGCATCGTCAACTGCTCAAGTAGCTGTCTGAATATTGGGAGCCATGTTGTTGTTGTTAAATCTTGTTTGTAGGATGTTGCCAACAGTCTAATGCATTCTTTCACAGATAGCATTAGCAGTTGGATTCTTGCTTGTTGCGGATGCATCGTGAATTCCCCATTGCTGTAGTTGCAACTGAAAATCATGACCAATGAATTCTCCTCCTTGATCATGAATACACTTGAACGGTTTCTGATATTGAGAAAGCCAGAGATTTTCAAACACATTCGTAACATGTGCTGATGTTTTGTTCTTGATACGTGCAAGTTCAGTGAGATTTGTGATGGGATCAATACACGTGAGCACATTGAATTCAATTTCTATACCGTTGACCTTGATCTTCTAAGGCCCAATCAAATCCAAAGCCACTGAAAACCACGGGACCATATCTGCGTGTCTTTCGGGTAGATGTCCGTATTGGATGTTCACATTTTTGTTCACTTGATAAACTTGACAATTGAGAGATTCAACTTTTCTTTTCAACGCAGGAGCATAGAATCTTCTGACAATTGTATTGTACAAAGAGGTGGTGCCTCGATGTCCAAGCACCAAATGGTACCACACAATCACAGGAGCAACCAAAGTTTCAGGCAAGTGAATTCTCCATTTGTTAGGTTTATTCAAATCTGCAAAATAGCAGATCACATTGCAATTGTCAATTTGCATGATGGGATACTGAGCCCAAGTTGCTGCATTTTGCAATTTTTGAATGAGTGCAACATCTTGGAGCTGATGTTGTTGGATGTTTGCCATTGTGATTGGATTTGGCATAACTTCCAATAGAGGATGATTCGAAAACAATTTAAGCATTTCATCATTTTCAATTGCACCATGTCCATGGTCACCATCTTGGCAACAGGAGAAAGAACATTTGAAGGTACAATTGAATTCAGCTTCAGATGGAGGAGGAAGAAGAACATCTTCTTGAAACGAGTACATTTTATCTTTGAGATCCATTTTGACATTGAGTTTGTCAAATGCGATCAATTTACCTTTAAGAAGCAAACTCTTCCCCTCAGACAACCCTCCTCTTCAATGGCAAAACCTGATGAACTTTGCCATTGAAAAGACTTCCGCCTATCTAAAATGCGCACCATCCAGCTGATGAATTCAGAGGCCCAGTCAAACAATAAGAAGGCGGGCCGTGCAGCCATGCAATTTGCCTAAGCGCACTCCTTGATACCCGACGGGCAATGCAGCTCATGCAAACGTCATCAAGCAATTGACCTGGCCTTGTCTAAACAATTAGTGTGGGATCTACTGATCCTTCAATGCTGCGCAGCGGGGTGGATCTTGAATGATGCCAAGTCCTGCTTTGACCGTGTTGTCCACTGGGTGGCCATCGTCACAATGTTGCGGTTTGGCTTGACACGGCGTGTCCTATCATCGATGTTCAACATGCTCTCCTCCGCTACCCACCGTGTTTGCACAGGTTTTGGTGACTCCAAGAGAAGCTTTCGCTGACATTCCAAGGTTGTGGGGGAAATGGTGCCGGACCCCCCATTTGGATCTCGGTGAGCTCAGTGCAATCAATCCGGAGAAGTCCTTCTGGTGGCTTATTGACTTTGAATGGGATGCTCGCAATGGTCAGTGGAGATTCCGTAGGAAATGCTCTTAAGATACAGGGGTTATACGATGACATTGAACCCCTTCATCGCCTTGAATCAGATGATTCCGAACGTACTCTGGGGGTGATGTTGTCGCCACTGGAAAATCACAACGCACAGGAGGCACAGTGGGTCTCTAAAGCTAAAGAGTGGGCCAAACAGCTTCGGACTTACCTGCTACACAAGTACGACGTGTTACCCTTAATCCGGACCACAATCCTGAAGAAGCTTGAATATCCTATGGCACTCACTACCCTCAACGCTCAACAATGGCAGGACATTATGTCACCGGTTCTCCAGGTGTGCTTACTTAAGTCAGGTGTTTGCCGCAACTTTCCCCGTTTGGTGGTCTTTGCCCCGGTGGATTATCAAGGCCTTGGTGTTCCTCACCCCTTTGGCAAGCAAGTGTACAAACACTTGGAGATGATCCTGCGCCATATGTCGGGGGGTAGGAAGACTGGAGCCTACATGGACGCCAATCTCCAGGCTCACCAGCTGGAAACCGGTACCTCCTTTGGTCTTCTACAGCAAGATTACCAGAATACATCCATTCTTGCTTCTGATACCTGGCTTAAAAGGGTATGGAAGGAGCTTGAATCTCTGGATATGTACATGGCCTTTGACTCTCCGGCCCTATCTTTAAGGTGTCATCATGACGCCCTCCTGATTGACTTGTTCATTGATCTTGAGGTTGATCAGGACGACCTTCTCTTGCTTAACTGGTGCCGGATGTTCCTGCAAGTAGCCACAGTATCAGATATCACTACGGCTGATGGCCGCTATATCCGGCAATGCATCTGGAACGGTTTCCGCGACAACACTTATCGGACTCCATATAACTGGCCTCAAACGGTACAACCGGGGCGTCCATATTGGGAACTCTGGCAAAGAATACTGTCCCGCGTGCTCTTGCCTTCACATGGTCAGCACCACCCTCTGCTCCAACCCATGGGACATTGGCACGACCACTTCGAGTCTTGGGACTGGCTCTGGTCGCCGACTGTTGGGTTGTTTCATCGGGAGGGGGCTACATGGACCCATCTTGCTCTTGTAGGTTCCTCTACAACTTCTCGGCGCTATGCTCCATCTGGCAGTCACAGTGGGATGGATAGCCTACAACGACAAAGTTCTTGGTGGACTTGCCCTTTGCCTTCTGACGTCCTGCGTGCCATAGTGAGGCCCCTCTCTGGTAGCGACTGGGTGCTCCTCACTGGTACAGGTCTCCCAACCTTGCCTCCCTCTGACCCGACCCCCTCCATCCTCAACGCCTGGCAAACCTCTGCCGATCTCTGCACAGACTACTAGACGCTCGACCACTGCCTTGATCAATTGCATGTGTCCTTCATAAGAATTAGAAAAGAGTGCAACATTGCCAATGTAGACTTCAACACCTTGCTCTTTTAACCCATGCAATGTTTTCTCAATGTAGTATTGAGCAGCATCAGGAGCAGGTTTCAATCCCATCGCCATTTGTTGATACTGATATTTGCTGTATTGTGTGA